GCCTAGAGCGCGCTAGTTGGAAAAATCGTCAAATGTACCCCCTATTTAAAGGACTATAACTTTCTTCATTGATAACCATTTCAGAAAGTGAAGGCAGCTTTTGAATGCACAAGACTTCTAGTTTCTAAATTGTGCTGAGCGTTTTTCTAAGCACGCCTATTCTCGAGAGTGGGAGACGTCGAGGAATTGTCGAGGAAATTGAAATTTACATGCGAGTTCCCACTCTTTGGAAGACAGTAGCTGTCTTCATTGGCAATGCTTTGAAAATCGGAGGAAAGCGTTGTAAAGTAGAAGATTTACGCTTTCTGATAGGTGCTCCAGTTGTTTCGAACGCTTTCTAGTTCGCGAGAAATCTGCGTCGAGGAAATGTCAAGGAAATTTTCGAAGCCACTCGAAAACTCTATTACTCCCTCGCCGTAGTAGGGAACTTCTTTGAACACCTTCAAAATGCTTCTGTACACGTCAGTTCGATGGAGTAAATTGAAAATGATGCACTTGGCGCAGATCCATTCCGTTCTTGTATGCGCCATGCAGTGACCCCACTCGGAGTCATTGGGAAGGTGTTTTGTCCTAGTGACGACTTGCTTAAGCACACCAAAAGATATTTCCAGTATTAACTAATTAGGATAACTCTTGTGGTCATAGTGATGTCTGATCATTCCTTTATTCAAATCGCTTCCTTTCCAACCCGTTCTGATGAATGACACGCTTGCGGTTGCAGGATCTGATGATGCCAAGAAGGCTGCGAATCTGCCTGTTTTGAACTTTCTACCAAGATGCTGTTCCTCCACTAAGTTCTCGAAGCATGTACATCATTCTAGAGTAGATACTCGCTGCCCTTTCCCTACGATTCTTTTGCAGGACGCGTTGCCTTCCTATGCCATACTGATCACTACGAACCACAACCACTTTCCATTTAAATTTTAATTCCAGACAGTTGTAAGATATTATTTGCATTAGGCTAACTACAACACTTGTGAAACTAATGATGACAGCAAATAAGTGGCAGCAGCACCGTTGTGTCCGTTGATGAACCTTTTGATTACGACCCCCTCCCAACTCTCATCGGAGCAAATACGACCCCCTGTCGAGGATTTCCTCGACCGTTATTCACCCTGTGCAAGGCCGCTTTTGACCAGCGTTTCAGGGACGTCGTAATGGTCTATGGTACCTCGACGACCTCGTTGAGCTCGTACCGTGAACCATGTTTCCGTGGGAAAATCTTCTGATGTCGTCGGTGTAGAAGGCTGTCATGTAACTTTTTGATAGATAGAATGTGCTCTTTAATATGCAGTTAAGTTGGTTTGGTTTTGTCATTTGGATTGGTTTTGCAACGTATATTTGAATACATGTTAAACGGGAGGGAAATGACCCCTTTTCGGCCCCCACCCCTGTGTCATTCAACATGCGAGGCAACGTCTTCAAATGGACCCTTATGGATTTCCTGAATAAAGTTGATATCTGGATTTGGATTTGGTCTTCGCAACGGTTCGTAGAAGTTCAATGTACCATGTCCTTTGTTGTGAGGGGAGCCCTGCACTAGTATACTATACATCTTCAGCCCTCATAGAAATGTGCAACACAGCTCCGCGCTCATATAATAGCTTTGTCTTACTATCCGTGTCTATACTATGCTACTCATTCTCTTGTTACAAACCATATTTTGGGTACGATGAATCATAAACAACTGAGCCTTCATTACACAGAGGACGACCAGTTTCCATTTTGGAATACTGGCTTAATTCGTGAGTAGTTCTTGTTCAGGGGCATATTTCAAGTTTGCAAGAGTGGATTGTTTGAGAGCTAGGACTCAATGGTTTGAGTGCTCCCTGATCATTCTTATGTTGCGTATTGGTTTTGCGCATGGTCCTTGAAGATCATCTGCAACGTTCGGAGCAAAAACAACATGTAGGACCGGATTGGACCAGTGGGCGGGAACCGGAAGTGCTTTTGTGACGAAGTGCATGGCAGGTGCGGATCCACGTGTCAGTTTATGGAAAGGTCCAACATGAATCCTGTTCACGTTCACGCTTTTGACACGTTTGCACGTGTGCCACGCCGCTAACAGTTGTGAAAGTTTCACGGCGGGAATTCAAATTTTCATACTCTGTTTCACGGCGGGAATTCAAATTTGTCACACTCTAACTAAAAGAAGAAAGCGAAACGCGAAGAAAAGTCAAAAATAATCAAGTTATAACAAAGAGACAAAAAAGACGCGGATCTGCGCCTTCCCCGTCTTTTTTACCAAAATTATTGGGTGGTGCTGTAGTAATCATAATTATAATCGAAACCAATGCTTATGTTCCCGCTCTTTTTGCTATCCTCATTAGGCTGGGGGCTTAAAGTATTTTTTTTGAGGGAGTGAAGGCGAACTTTTCCGTGGAAGATTCCTTCACCTTCGAGAAGGGGTCGATGTACAGACAGAGTTACCTTTTTTCGTATATGAACAGGACCTTGAAAGTTCCTGATTAAGCTTTTATAATGTCTTATATGCAATATGTTTGTGCATGTACCTTGCTTATTCAGACAAAACAATACAAAGCAGAGCAAGGGTGGTGTGATGCCGAATGGCACCCTTGCTGCTACACAAAATTTACATCGAAGGCTTAAATCCGAGGATCAAATCTTATGTAGGTCAGCTGAGTTCTTCGCTTCACTGTGATCGGATTATTTGCACCAGATCACCAGCAGAGGAAAAAAGCTCCCTTGCACAGGGGCTAACCCCAGGTCACTTTAGGAGACATTTACCTATTCTAAAGACCACACAATTCAAACCACTGGAAGTATCATTAGATATTTGTCCTCCTGGTATAAAAA